ATTTAGCATATTTACATATACATATGTATATGTATATGTATATGTAAATATGATGAGTAATAATAAATATAATAATTCTTATTAACACTATATATAATAAAAAAAATATATATTTTATTATATACTTGTTTTTTTGTAAATATTTATTTATTTGATTAAACTAAATATTATTGTTGATTTTATAATTAATATATTATTTTCAAATTTTTAACTAAATAAATATTATATTACTTAAAATATTATATATAATATATATTATTATTATAAATATTAAATTTTTTTTATTTTTAAATATAATAAATAATTAATGAATTTAAAATATATATTTTCATATATATATTTTTATAAATATATATATAAAAATAGAAAAAAAAATATTTTTAACATGTTTAATATACAAAATATATATAAATAATATAACTATATAAACATATAAATGATAAAAAATACTTAATTTAATAAAATCTTATAAATCATATATCTATAATTTTTTAATAGAAAAAAATATATTTATGATTAAATAATAAATAAAAAAATATTTATAAATTTATTAAAAAATTATTTTTAAAAGAATAAAATATATTATTATATATTTTAAAAGATATTTTATTATTTCATTTTAAATATTAAGTATAAAATAATATTAAAATTAATATATATAAAATGAAGATTTTATAATAATATATAATTTTAATTAAATAAAAATTTTATAATTAATATTATTTTTTATAAATTATAATATTAAATTAATAAATATTATATATTTTTTTTAAAGAATTTATATATAAATAAAATTAATAAAAATAGAATCAATATAAAATAGAATATTTATTTTATATAATATATATATATAAATAATATAACAAAAAAAAATACGTAAAATAAAAATATCTATTATAATTTTAATTTATAAATATTTTATTTTTTTTAAAATAGAATTCATATCTTATTAATTTTGTTTTATTTAATTTACAAAATTTAATTATTTTTCTTTATAAATAAAAGTTTTAAAATCAAATAAAACATAATGTATATTTTTTAAAATATTTTATTTGCATATATTAATAAAATTAATTAAATTCATATATTTATATTGAATAAATAAAAAATAAAAATATATTTATATAATTATATTATATTTTTTTTGAATATAATTTTTTTTAATTATAAAATATTCTATTTTATATATTTTTCATTTAATTAATATCTATCTCTAAATATTTTTTAGTTTATTTTTTATTTTATTTAAATTATATAATTTTAAAATTATTTACGAATATTTTAATTCAAAACATTTTATAAATTATCAAATTTGTGGTGATACAAATTAATATTAATATAAAAATTTCCTTATAATATAATATATTTTTATTAAAATAAATATCTTTGACACTATTAATTATATAAAAAATATTAAATCAATATTTTAAAAATCTATATTATTTTGTTCATAATATTAAAAATATATCAATTATATTTTTGCTATTAATTTCAAAAATAAAAAAAATAAAAATATAAAATATCATAAAAGCATAGGCTAAAAAGTATATATATATATATATATATATATATATATATATATATATATATATATATATATATATTTAAAAAATAATATTATATATATATAAAAATATTAATATTTAATATAAATAAAATAGAAAATTTATATATTTTGCATTTTATTTATTAAATCACCACAACATAAAATACAAAATTTAAAATAAAACAAAATTATAATGCATTTAAAAATAAAATAGAAAAAATAAATACATATAACAATATTCATATATATTCATCAATTAATAAAATAATATATTAACAAAATTTATATAAATAAAAAATAATAATAAAAAAAATAATGTTCAAAAAACTAATTCTAATTAACTTATTAATGTTTTTAATATTGACCGAATCTAGTCAATAATAAAATGATAGCGTTATAAATACTTCAACTGGATGTTAAGAAGATTAATATTAAGATTAAGATACTCATGATTGTGTTTCTTGCAAAACTAATTTCGGTAATTGTATAAAATGTACACAAAATAGTTGCTCTGTATGTGCTAAAGGATATTTAATACTTTTTTCTGAAACAAAATGCATCAAAGATACTTTAATAGATAAATATACAGGAGATCATTGCAATGAAGGATGTGATATATGTTATCAATCTGGAGAATGTATGGAATGTAAGGATGGTTATTATGTTAATTTAGACGAAAAAGAGGACACAACTTGTGTTATTTGTACTAGTAAATTTAGTAATTGTTAAAGATGTACTGAAAATAGTTGTACTAGATGTTAGACAGGTTATTTAAAAGATGTCTCTGGTTAATGCTAACAAGAAAATACATAGGATGGTTATATATAATATGGAGAGTCTTGTAGTTAAGAAGGATGTGATAAATGTTCTTAATCTGGAGAATGTTTATAATGTTAAGATGGCTTTTATTAAGATTTAGACGAAAATAGAAATAAAATATGTATTAGTTGTAGTATTAAATTCAGTAATTGCTAAAGATGCAGTCATAGTTTTTGCGAAAGATGTATTAATAAATATTCATATAGTAAGATTGAAAAATAATGTGAAGAAGGTAGTGCTATCAAATAAAATTTAGCAACTTTTTGCTTTGATGGATGTTATTTATGTAGTGATTCTGGAAAATGTAAAGAATGCTGGGATGGTTATTATGATGACTATGAAGATTAGGAAGATCATGAAAATAAACAATGTCTAAGTTGCAGTAGTAAATTCAATAATTGTGTAACATGTGATAAAAATAGATGCAACTAATGTAGAGAGGGATATAATTATAATGAATCGGAAAAATAATGCTTAACAAATCTCAATTCTAGATTTTTACATAAAGTTTAAGCTAATCATTAATGATTAAATAACCATGCTTTTAAATAATACTTAGTTTGAGTTATTTGCTGTTTTTGATTAGAATCATTAATAAAATTATTTAAAATAATCATAATATTATATATATAAATATGTAATATCTATTTTTTTATTATTTCTATTTAATTAAAAAAAATTATTTTAAACTATATTAATTATTATATTAGTATTTTTATAAAAAATAAGAGTTTTTTTTTAAATAATAAATAGATTAAAATTAGACAACAAATATTTATTTACTTATATAAATTTTTTATTTATATTCTTTTTTATATTTTTTTATTACTTTATACTTAAAAATTTTAAACCTTACATAGTTAATTTGCTTTATCATTATTAATTAACAAAACACTTTTTATTATTGATATTATAACTTTCTTACGATAAAAAACAAGCGACGATTATTACAAAATACGCAAATAATCTAATAATCATTTTTGGGCATCTTTTATATTTATTTTGATTTTTATTTCATTTCAATTGTTACGGTTAAAAGAATTTCATAATCGAGGTTTATATATATTTTATTAAGTTAAATTTTAAAATATACATAAATGGAACCTTTTTTAGGCTCCTAGAAGAGATTTTGGGCTTAAATAAGATGCTTTTGGTTAAATATTCATGAATATTGTTTGTGTCTTTTATATCTTAGTTATTCCATTTTTGTTTTATTTGACCAAGATAAAATTATAAGTTTTATGTCGAAAAGGAAAATAAAATAATTTAAAAAATTACACCGTCAAAGTTGCTAAAAAGCTAAAGGTAAAATCACATGTCTTTAAAATTATAAAAGATTCAGTAATTATACCCCTCTATATGTCTAAATTTCTGTTCAGAAAAAGCAGTTTTTGTAAATGTCAATGTATTTGCCCAACTAGATTTGGATGAGTTGATTGCTATATAGAATGTTTTGGAGCTGTTGATAATGAAAATTTTGTATGTGAACTTATGTATTTCAGGTAAATTCTTTAACCCATATAATACTTAAATTCAGATTATCCTTTAAGACTATACGAAAGTGCTGGGAAATGCGAACCATGTAAAAGAAATTATTCAAAGATTTTCTCTTAATCAAACATTGGGTATTTGTAAATAAAAAAAGGCTTCTTTAATTATAATAATAGTAGTGTTTAAGTTAATGCCCTTTTAGGATTTTTCGAAAACTAAGAAACTTAAGCTTCTGAGGGAATTTTCTGAGGATATATTTAATAAAATAATCTTAATACATATTCCATATGTGATACTACTAAAAGTATTTAGAATAAGTTTAGATCGAAAATTCACTTTGTGTTTAGTAATATTACTTATTATGTAATTATAATAATGCAGCATATTGATTTGTTTGTGAGAGAAGTAAATTATTAAGTATTGATGGTAGTTATGTTAAGTAATGACCTGATGTTAGTTTGTTTATTTTTAGGATGTTAATATTGTATTTATCGATTGTTATTTTGATTATCATATTAAAATTTTTATTAGAATGTTCATGTGAATTTCCCTTATTGTAAAATCTGCTATTAATACTTATATAATAAATATATTAACGGATTCTAATTGAATTCAACTAAAAGAATATGTGAAATAATAACTTCTAGAAGATCTACATATGAAAATACTGGATAATAATGCCCTTAGGAATGTGCTCTTAATATGGAAATATTTGTAATTTTAAGATAAACAACTAGAAAATAAACTATATAATGGTATTAGTTACAGTATTAAATTTAGTGATTGTAGTTCTTGTAATTCAAGTCATTACTTCAGTTGTACTCCTAGATATAAATATTATTATTATGAAGATACATGCTATAAAGTTACTAAAGAGGATAAAATTTATGGTTTGTATAAGGTATGTTCATAATACAATAATACTAAAATTAAATAATAATAATTTGAAAACTTTTGATTGAAATATTATATAATTTTTATTAATAATAAAAAAATATGTTTTTAATTTTATAAAATATTTTTTTTTTTGATTAATTAATTAAAATCATATAATTTAAAAAAATTAAACTAACCATTTAAAAAAAAAAAAATAGTATTTTTATATATATAAAATATACATTATAATATATTTATTAACACTTTATAATATTTTTATTTTTCTATTTAATTTTTCAAAAAGAATTCAATTTATTAATTAAAATTATTTATTATTAATCACAAAATTAATATTTAAGTTTAAAACTTTTAATTTTTTATTTTATTAAATTAAATAAATTAGACTTAAATTTTTACATATATTAAAATATCTAAATTTATTAATTTATATTTAGTTTATATTAATATATAATAAAATAAGTAAATTGTTGAAATTTAAAATAAAAATGATTTATTAATTAATGCTTATGAGTTATTTAATTTTATAAAATTCTGATATATAATTAGTTTTTTAAATTTTATATTTTTTATCCTAAATGTTTAATTTATTATATTAATCAAATAAACTTAATTTTATTAATATATTTAATTTCTTTATAAAATAAAATTGAAATTCTATTTTTATAATATAATTTAAAATATTTTTTTTTAAATTATAAACTATCCATATATTGTTATCAAATAATAAAAATAAACAAGTATATATTTTAATATATATAAATAAGTACAAAATTATTCATGTATTAATTTAATTAAAAGAATTCTTTAATTTTATTAATAGTTTTTTTTGACAATTAATTTAACTTTATTTAGAATCTATATTTTTAAGTTTGAAAAATTAACTATGTTTCATATTCTTAAATATTTTTTATTAATAGTTCTTTTTATTTAAATGAAACAAAATTTTAGAATAAAAATTATTTTTCTTAATCAGAAATAAAATTTCTTTTAAAATTAATGATTAAGGAATTTATTAATTTAAATTTTTATTAGTAATTTTAAAAAGAAGGATTAACTGTTATTCGAACTTTTTATTTAATTTTTTATAATTATTAATTATTAGAAATATTTTATTCACTTTTGTTTTTATTTTCTTCATTATTTTGTATTCTTTTTTGTAATATTTTAAATGCTTTTTTAATTTTTTATTTGCAATGTTTTCTAATTTTAATGATATTTAATATATTTCACTATTTTCATCAATATACTATCTAAAGTTTTTTCAAATTAAACTTTAAATATTTGTCGAATTAAATCAATTTTTAATACTTTATATACATTATTTTATAAATATACCAATGTAATCTTTATTTTTTTTTATTTTATATACTCATATAATTTTTATAAATCAATTAGATTTTAGACTATTTTTATTTAATCTTATAATATTTCTGTGTTTATGGGATTTTAAAGTAATTTTCATTTAAAATTTTTAATTATTTCTTCAATTATATTGAGAATTGATTAATTAATTCACTTTTTTCATTTTTTATTATTTTATAATTCAGTTATTTTTTTTTTAAAAACAAAATATATATTATATTTAAATATAAAATATAATAATAATTAATAAATTATATTTATAATTTTATAATATATGATTACAAACATTATATATAAAAAACATAAATAAATTAATATTTTAGGTGAATTCTATTTTTTATTGATTCTGTAATTATAACCCTTATATGTCCGAATTATTATTCTGAAAAAAGAGTTTGTGTAAACAGCAAATGTATAATCCCACCTAAATTTAAATGAGTTAATTGCTATCTGGATTGTTTTGAAGCAAATGATAATGAAAATTTTGTAAGTGAAGTAAAAGAAATAGTTCTAAATATATAGAAATATTTGTTAGTAAGTTAAATTTATGCTATTTTATAGCATGAATAAATATAATGGTAAATAAGGATATTAGTCTAATTAAACTTTAGGAATTTGCTAGCTTTAGTAATCAAAATTCGTGCAATATTAAGTTTATATATATATATTATAATAAATTGTATATTTTTTTTATATATAAATATAAAAATACATATATATAAATATATTTATAATATATATATTTTTTTTTTATAAAAGTAATTTTTTAATTTTTTTAGTAATTTAATATATCTTTAATATTTTATATTATAAAATTTGATATGTTTATTATCCTATATTATTAATTTTTTTTTCAACTTCTTAAGAAATAATATTATTTTTTTAAATTGTTTTTTTCTTTAATTACTCTTCTTATATATATTTCTATCAATAAGGTAATACTAAAAACATTTTAATAAATTAACTATATTATCTTTTTTCTTTCTTCCAAATTAATTTTATGATTAATAAACAGTAGGTGATTATAAATAACATTTTAATTTAATAAATATTAGATAATTACTACTCTTTTACAATGTTCTCAATTTAGTATTTATATAATTTAACATCATTCTAAATAAAGTACACATCATAGTTTCTCCAAAAATTAATAAAATCAAAATCAATATTGCACTCTATGTAAAATAATCAAACCATGAATTAGGAGATGTAAATGCTGATAAAATAGAGGAAATAAAACATAATTTTTAGTATTAATATAATCATATTTACCCAATTTTTTGGGTCACTATACACTATGATGGAGTAAAATGGTAGAGTCAGTTAATTAGCTATCAGATAAGCGAGAAAAATATTAATCCAGAAATATATTTCATTAATTACAAAAAATAAAAGGGAAATCATAATAACTATATAAAAAATTTTTATTGTTAAAAATAATAAACATTTTAATTATATATATAAAACTTATGAATTCAAAGATAATTAAAAAAAAAAAGGAAACACTTTGGAATAATATTAATCATTATTTTTTGTGTATAAATTAAAAAAAACATATAAAATTAAGATATAAAAATCAATTAAAAAGATTAAAAATAATATTTTTTAATAATCTCTTTATAACTTTAAAACAAATATATGCAATTTATAAAATTAATATGAATTAAAATTTAACTGATTTATAAAAAACATAAAAAAACAATGATTTTAATTTAAAATACTTACATTGATTATTAAAAAATAAAATTCTAAAAATATAAACCATTATTCTTATTCTT